GGGCTGCGCAGGCTGGGCTGGGGCCCCAAACTGAACCCCTTCCTGGGAGGTCGCAGTCATGTGTGCAGGATGGGGTCTCGGCATCTCAGAGCATCCCTGAGCCCTGTCCGCACGGAGTCGTGCAGGGAAAGGGCCATCCTGGAGTGCGTGCGGGAGCACAGGGTGGTCGCTGAGGAGCGCTCTCACCAGCAGCACCGACACCGTGCGTGTGCCAGGGCCCCGGGCAGGGCTGAGCCCCAGTGCTCCTGGCTGTCCCTCCACGGCACCCGGCAGCTTGGGTTGTGCCAGGCTTTCACCAGGCTTTGTCTTCCTGCACAGAACATCCTGGGGCTGCAGGGGATCCCTCGGCAGTTTTTCCTGCAGGTGTATGAGACGCTGCGGAGGATCGGGGAGACCAGGTCAGCACCGTCCCTGCGCCTGCCCTGCTCTGTCCCCCTGCAGCTGTGGGGTCTCTAGCTCTGCTGCTTCACTCCCCATCTCTTTGGTTACATCTTAGACCGATTTCTCAGTCCGTGCCTAGCACTGTGACACAAGTGCTTGTTCTCAGCCATTTCCATTTGAGCTGAAAATTTGAAAATGGGGGAGCACATGGGCTCCCAGGCTGCTAAAGAGGAAGGGTGGGGCAGACTTGTCCTATTTTCTGCTTCCAGTTAGATACACCAGGATTTTGCCAGCCCAAAGACACTTCCTTGGGACTGTCGGTGTCATTAAGTTCTCTTCCAGTTTTTGACAGCCCAAGAGGGAGCTCAGGCATCCCCGTGCCCCCCGCCCTCTCCTGTTAGCTGCACCCATGGCTCGGGGTCTGTGCCACAGCCTGGGTTTCACACAGCACGGTGACACACAGGATCAGCTTCATCACGGCTGGCAGAAGACCTCCCTGCCTAGCTGTGAGGGGCAGCAGCAGGAGGGGAAGGAGGCAGATCCCACTGCACTGATCCTGCCTGTCGCAGGGGTCCTGATTCTCTCTTTATGAAGAGCCCACAAACCCATTCGCATCATACTGCTGAGTGGGGGAGACCCCCTCCTCCCTCTCCTGCTGCCCTGCAGGGAGGTGACATGTTTTGCCGGTGGTGCGGAGGTGCCGGCAGCGCCCCCGTGAGCTGTGCCCC